GCGTGTGTGTGTGTGAGTGTGTACGTGTGTGTGTGTGTTTGTGTGTGTGTGATCAGTGTAAGCTGGAGCAGCAGGCGTGTTTGTCGGGGAAGGATCTGTCTGTTCTGTGTTCTGGTTCGTGTCCTTGTATCAGTGCTGGACTTCCTAAAGCAGAACCCAAGATCAAGACGAATCCAGAGACGTCACCCGAACCCAAACCAGGTCCACACACACACATTACTCCATCAGCTCTCAATGCAAACACGCAGAATGATGCTTGGTGTCACAGCGAGTTCAGACATTCATGTTTTATGAAGCCTAGTTAGTTGAAATTTTCATGCATTTGAGTGAGTTTATTGTTCCTCTGCATTATTAATCTGCTGGCATCTCTTTATTTACTGTCTCTCTAGAGCTCTGCACCAGTCAGGATTTGGCAGATTTGGGCGACAGACTCCGAGACTGGTTTCAGCTCCTGCATGGAAATGCTAAACAGAACAACTCTGGAAGACAAAGCACAGCGTCAGGTGAAAACACACACATAACAGCTGAACTAATTACTGTGAAGAAGTCTCTTCTACTCACCAAGGCTGCTTTTATTTTATCAAAAATATTGTAAAAATTGTGAAATATTATTATAATTTAAAACAGCTGTTTTCTATGTGAATATCTGTTAAACTGTAATTTATTTCTGTGATGCGCAGCTGTATTTTCAGCATCATTACTCCAGTCTTCAGTGTCACATGATCTTCAGAAATCATTCTAATATGCTGATCTGCTGCACAAGAAACATTTATTATTATTGTCAATGTTGAAAACGATGGAAACTTGTTCCCGCCATGGAATAAAAAAAAAACAGTTTTTCTCACTCGATGCTGAGATTACATCTTGCAATTGTTTTTGTTTTCACCAAAAATGAAAAAATATAAAAGGTAATTGTGACTTTTCATCTCTCAACTCTCACTTTTTCTCGCGATTGTGAGTTTATATCTCACAGTTGTGTTTATATTGCACAATTTTGACTTTTTTCGTGAATTGTTAATAATTCAACAACATGGTTCTCTGATGTCTGTTAATAGTCAGTTTTATCAATCTTGACATGCAGGTAAACAAAAAGGATAGTTAAAATTTTTTAATATTTAAAATTATTATTTTTTAAATATTTATTTTCATTTAATTTTTAAATATAATTTTTTAAATATTTTTAAAATGTATTTATCTCACAATTCAGACTTTTTTCTCGCATTTCTGAGTACATCTCACAACTGTGAGTTTATATCTCACAATTTGGACTTTTTTTCTCAGAATTGCAATAAAAAAGTATGAATTGTGAGATAAAAATTCACGATTACCTTTTTTGTCCTGTGGCAGAAACGAGCTTCCATAGAAAACAATTTCATATTTTTGTGGAAACTGATACATTTTATTTTTCAGGATTCACAGATGAATAGAAAGTTCAAAAGAACAGCATTTATTTGAAATAGAAATCTTTACTAACATTTTTAATGTCTTCACTGTCATTTTTGATCAATTTAATGCATCCTTCATGAATAAAAGTATTAATTAAGTGTGATTATCAAACAAATGACTCTTGGGATTCTTCTTATAGTCAAGCTAAATTAAGTATATCATCATGTATTATCTCTCTTGAGCTTTCGTAATGCATATTGCTACACGTCTAATGTTGTTAATAGTTAGATCAGCATTGACTGAGTTTCCTCCCCTGCAGTGTTTGACCGAGGGCTCGTGGCCGGCTGTAAGGACTCCATCGGCTGGATGTTCTCCAAGCTGGACTCCAGTAACGACCTGTTCCTGGATCAGTCCGAGCTGGCCGCCGTAAACCTGGAGAAGTATGAAGTGTGCATCAGGCCCTTCTTTAACTCGTGCGACTCGTACCGCGACGGGAAGGTTTCCACGGCAGAGTGGTGCCTGTGCTTCTGGAGAGAGAGTGAGTGTGTTGTTATTCACTGAGCTCAGATCATGAGGAATCTTGATCCTTTGATAGAAAAGTTCATTGGAAAATGACATTACAAGTGGACCACTTATACATAAAAAAAATTGCCAAGCAATGTCTAGTAAAATAGTTTATAGTAAAATTAAATTAAATTAAATTAAATTTAATTTAATTTAATAAATTTTTAATCCACTGTTTTTAATGTTTTTTTTGTTTTGTTTTTTACAAGTGGACCACTTATATATATATAAAAAAATTGCCAAGCAATGTCTAGTAAAATAGTTTATAGTAAAATTTAATTTAATTTAATTTAATTTAATTTTTAATCCACTGTTTTTAATGTTTTTTTTTTTTTTTTTTATTATTTGATTTTTTTTTTATCTTATTTTTCTATTATCACTAATTTATGTAATTTGATCAAACAGGGAGAGACACGAACCAACTAACTTTTTTTATTTTTTTTTTTTTTTTTTTTTTAATAATTGATTGTCTGATTTTTCATCATTTTTTCACGTGTTTTTTCCAGAACCCCCGTGTTTGGCTGAAATCGAGAGGATCCAGATACAGCAGGCGTCTCAGAGGAAACCAGGTAAAAACACACGAACAGACAAACTGGCCAAAATACAATTATAAGAAAATGATTAAAGCTGAAGCCACTTGAGGTTAAGAAAGGAAGGATATAATACACAATATATGTGTGTGATGGAAACACTTTATTTTTCTATTACAATCCAGATTAAATACCGGTAAATGCACTGAATACATCAAACCCTACGATCAAACTTTTATTGAATTAGAAAAAGTGTTTATTGAATGGAAAATGGATGCAATGCATTTTCTTTGAGTTACAAGGAATTTGTGGATTTTATTGTATAGTTGATTTGTTGTAGAGTTGATTGATGATCTGTGTGTGTGTGTGTGTGTGTGTGTCTGTCTGTGTGTGTGAGTCTGTGTGTGTCTGTGTGTGTGAGTGTGTGTGTATGTGTGTCTCTGTGTGTGTCTGTGTGTGTGTGTATGTGAGTGTGAGTGTGTGTGTGTCTGTGTGTGTGTGTATGTGTGTATGTGTGTCTGTCTGTGTGTGTGTGTATGTGAGTGTGAGTGTGTGTGTGTCTGTGTGTGTGAGTGTGTGTGTATGTGTGTCT